TCGAGGAAAGAATTCTCGAGGACTTATGAGCAAAAGTGGTTTTGATAAGCATGCTAATCCCACAGAGGCACCTCAGTTATCGGAATATAACTTTAGCATTGACGCGTCGGCATTGTATCGGCAATCGGAAGGATCAATGATACTAGGTGGCCCAGACACATACAGACCGATCCTTCCCAAAAAAACCCAAATTTGATGTGCAAGTATCATAGCACGCATGGTCACAAGACCGAAGATTGTAGGCAATTGAGGGAGGAGGTTGCCCATATGTTCAATGAGGGCCACCTTCGAGAGTTCCTTAGCAATCGAGCCAAGAATCATTTCAGAGAAAGGGATGCCAACAGGAAAAATGAACAAGAGGAACCCCAATATGTCATTCATAGGATCATCGGTGGAATGGATATTCCACAGGGACCCATATTCAAATGCACTAAGGTATCAATCACTAGGTAAAAACAAACCCGAGATTATGCGCCCGAAGGCTCCTTATCATTCAACGATGAAGAAGCATAGGGCATTTCTCAGCCCTACAATGATGCTCTAGTAATTTCTATCTTAGTAAATAAAGTTCAAGTTAAGGTGTTTTAGTGGATCCAGGTAGCTCGGCGAATATCATCTGATCGGGGGTCGCGGAGCAGCTCTGCTTACAAGATCAATTGTGCCCGCAGTTCGGGTCTTAAACGGCTTTAATATAGCCAGTGAAACAACTAAAGAGGAGATTATTCTACTGGTGAACGTGGTTGGAACCATTCAAGATACCAAGTTCCATGTGATCGAGGGCGACATGAGGTGCAATGCCCTACTCGGAAGACCTTGGATCCACAACATGAGGGTAGTCCCCTCGACTCTCCACCAAATGATGAAATTCCCAACGACGGACGGTGTAAAAATAGTATACGGGGAGCAGCATGCTGAAAAGGCAATGTTTCCGATTAATGAGATAATGTCGATATCGACGTTATCAACCTCGAAAAAGTCGAGCATCAAAGGTAAACAGGAAGCCAGATAGCAATCACAGCCACCAGCCTTGACCGAATTGAGGAAGTAGGAGACAGAAGAAGAAGAGAAGGATTTTCTAACCCCTCGAACCTTTACTATTCCCGAAGATTCCGACGTCACTAAATCAACGGTCGAAGAGCTGGAACAGTTTATATTGATCGAGTACCTGCCCAAGCGAAAGGTATACCTGGGAACGGGATTAACTCCCGAACTCAGGAAAAAGCTTTTTCAATTTCTTATTGATAATATAGATTGTTTTGTTTGATCCCATTTAGACATGACAGAGATCCTATCGAAAATAACGACGCATCGGCTAAGCCTAGACCCTAGGTTCAAACCGGTAAAGAAAAAGAGAAGACCCAGTTCGAGGTAAAGCATGCATTCATAAAGGACGAGGTAACTAAACTTCTCAAAATAGGGTCCATTCGGGAGGTGAAATATCCCGAATGGTTAGCCAATATAGTCGTGGTCCCTAAAAAAGGGAACAAACTTAGAATGTGTGTAGATTATAATGATTTAACCGAGGCATGCCCTAAAGATTCTTTTCCACTGCCTAACATCGATCGCATGATCGACGCCACAGCTAACTACGAGATCCTTACCTTTCTCGATGCCTATTCCGGGTATAATCAAATTCAAATGAACCCGGAAGACCAGGAAAAGACTTTATTTATCACCAAGTATGGAACATATTGTTATGATGTAATGCTCTTCGGGCTAAAAAATGCTGGAACTACTTACCAACACCTAGTAAATAAAATGTTTGAAGAACAACTAGGTAAGTCAATGGAACTTTATATGGATGACATGTTAGTTAAGTCCTTGCGTGCAGAGGACCATTTGGCTCATTTGCAGGAAACGTTTGAGATTTTGGAAAAATATAACATGAAGCTCAACCCCATGAAATGTGCTTTCGGGGTCGGTTCTGGCAAATTTCTGGGCATCATAGTGTCAAATCGAGGGATCGAAATCAACCTCGATAAAATCAAGGTCATCAAAGACATCACCGTCGTGGACACTGTAAAAGTCGTGCAGAGGCTGACTAGACGGATAGCTGCTTTAGGTCGATTCATCTCAAGGTCATCGGATCGAAGCCACAAATTTTTTCTCTACTCAAAAAGAAGAACGATTTCACCTGGACCCCGAAATTCCAACAGGAACTAGAGGAATTAAAGCAATACCTATCAAGCCCACCACTACTTCACAATCCAAAGGCAAATGAAAAATTTTACTTGTACTTGGTAGTATCAGAAATCGCGGTAAGTGGTGTACTAGTTCGAGAAGAGCAAGGTCTCGAGCAAGCTAAAAGCTTGGGAGCAGAAGTCATTAAAGCCAAGTATGACTCTTTACTGGTGGTGAACTGATGAATATAAATTATTCATGTATTTTCATACGTATAAATAAGAATTTTTAAATAAACCATGAATAAATATATTCGATTCTCCTATATTTTCTAACAAGTTTTGCAGAGGAAAGTTGAATTGAGGAAAGAGTACTACAAGGAGGAAAAAGAGCAATGCACGTGGTAAACAAGAGTGAATCAAATTTTGAAGTCACAACATGAAGTCTTGAAGTTACAACATCAACCTTTGAAGTCACAACTTCAAGACTTAAAGTTGCAACATCATCTCACATTTGCTACACATTTTCTATAAATAGACACTCATAATGTATTGTGAAAAGTGTATCTGACGAGAGAAAAACTATTCTTGGTCTCTATTTTATCTTTAATATTCCTAAGTCCTAGTAGTTATCCTTTTGTGAAATATAATATCTCTTTGTACCAATTCTTCGTATTTCTAAACTAGGTTTTTTTCTTACTTCATAATGGAGTAATCTTTTTTGTTGGGATAGTTGATGAAGCTTGATATATATATATATATTATAATACTATCTCAGTTTTAATATATTCTTGGTTTGAAATTTTCTATTTATATTTTATATTGTGCTATAATAATAGTTTTAACTAATCATTGTTATTATTTCTATATATTTTATCTTTAAGTTACTCTCATATTAATTTTGTAATTCACACGGAGCAAAATTAATATATAGTAACTATTGAATAAATTAGTGAAGTGAGAGTAATTATTAGTAAGCTATTATTAAAAGTCAATAATCATGCTTGACTCAATTTTAATTCTCACGGAGGAATTGTAGTGGCAGGATTATTGATTTAGTAAAAATATTCTCACAAAGTTTTTACTATCTTTTAGCACAATTTAGACCAGAAGATATTTCATTTTAACCGTCACCAGTTTTAACTCAATTAATTACATAACCTCACGGAGTGTTATTAGTTGATTAATTCCTGGTGAGATAAGATATAATTGTATTAGCAATAAGCAATTATCCTTTAGAGAAATACATGTAGAAAGTGAGATTTTATTATAATATATTATTAAGTGAATTCAACGAATCCCAACTCTTTTTTAAATTACAAATCTTTCAAAAGTTGTTTAATTTTGTTAAGTATTTAACAAGTTTTAATTCCACAAACTTTCCATTAATATGATTCTCTCAAATAGTAGCTAAAATATTATAAGTTTGTAGAATAGATTTTTCAATCTCTGTGGGGACGATATCATAAACTATACTAGAACTTGACAAAGCACGAGCAGGAAAATCCAATACACATTGGCCTCGTCAAATTTTTGGCGCCGTTTCCGGGGATTGGCATACAGATATTTCAGATTAAATATTTTTTTACTAATTTGAGAATTTATTACTGTTATTTTTGTTTCAGTTAATATTTTCACTAATCAAGTGCTATAACTACTACTGTGATATTAATCCTAATGTAATGTTTATGTTCATAATGGTATTGTAAATGTTTGTTTTCTTTTTTGTATTATTTCTTCCTACTAGTTCCATCATTAACTGTTTTTTAGCAAATTATGCATACTGCTATTAGTAATCTCTCCTTTATCATAATAATAGTGTTATTACTACTATTTACTATTTTTATAACATGTATATTTATAACTGTTATACTATTGTTAGTTCTTTCACATTGAAGTTTTTTTTTACTACTGAAAAATATTCATATGACCATTCCAACTATATGTATTATCACTAACTACTTTTGTCCATATATAATAGTATTATAGTATTGTTTCTTGTCGTAGTTCACTGTTGCGTCATTTTGTTTTACTTTATGTCTATTTCATTATAAGTATGAGTATAATATTATTATTCTCTATAGATAATAAAATTATCGTACAATTATTTTAGCTTAGCACCTACTATTTTTATCATTTTCATATTTTTATATACTTATTTTTTTCTTGTACTTTCTTTACTTAAGAATTTTAAGTAGTTTATGACCCGCTCTTCTACAAAAGAGTTGATCAGTTACGATCCTGAAATTGAAAGATTTATTCGATTGCGCAGGAAAGAACAAACATCGTCTTCCCAAGGAGCATCTTCTAAAGAAATGGAAAACCAGGAAGTAGAGAACATTAACCCATTTGGGATCCCACCACCGGTCCATGTAAAGGAGCAATTTGATGAAGTGGCGCCAAGGCCAGCAAACAGAATCCTTAGAGATTATGCTAGACCTGATCGCTTCAACTATGAATCTAGTTTCAGGAAGCCCCCAGTGGCAGCCAACAACTTTGAAATCAGGACCATCCTGGTTTAGACAATTCAACAATCTTGTATCTTCACTGCTGATACAAGTGAAGACTCACATAGTCATTTAATTAATTTTCTAGAACTTGTAGAAACTGCTAAGTATAATGGAGTACCTCCTGAAGCTATCAAGTTAAGGCTATTTCCTTTTTCTTTAAAAGGAGATGCCAAGACTTGGTTGCGAAGTTTGCCTCAAGGGTCCATTACGACATGGGACCAGATGACTCAGAAGTTTTTAAACAAATATTTTTCCCCTGCTAAAACAACAAAGTTAAGACAAGACATATATAATTTCTTGCAGACTGACACTGAGTCAGTTTATCAAGCTTGGGAAATATTAAAAGCAATGTTAAGAAAATGCCCACACCATGACATTCCCGAACATATGTAATTGTATATTTTTTTATCACGGGCTAAAACCCTCTGCTAGAAATGTGATAGATGCAGCTGCAGGAGGTTCTGTAATGGGCAAAACCACAGAGGAAGCATTGCAACTATTGAATGAAATTTCTGAGAATGCTATCCAATGGCCATCTGAGCGTGTAATCATTAAAAAGTCTGCTACGGTAAATCAGTTGATGCTTTAAATACACTAACGTAGCAGATTGTTTCTTTGGCATAAAAGTTTGAATCTTTTCAGGTGAATACACAACAATCACACCACTTTCAGGCTTGTGACATGTGCGGAGGAAACCACCAGAACCATGAAAGTCAAGCAACCAATCAAACGGATGAACAGGTTAATGTCATCGGTTACAAGTCACATCCTTTTGGGAGTCCAATGGCACAAAAGCATCCAGGATTTCAGTGGAGTAACCCAAATGATGCAGAAAACTCTCAAAGCATCCAGAAACAACAGGTACAAGGTCCGCCGGGATACTAGAGTCAAAATTGTGGGAAACCGAGTTACAGACCTTATCAGCAAGCAGGACCATATCAACAAGCAAGGTCATACCAGCAGAGGCCCCAACAAGCTCATCCAAGTCTTGATGACCTTTTGTACAAGTATATTAAGGTTACTGATGAAAAAATGGAAAGCCAAACTTCATCCCTCAAAAATCTGGAAATTCAGTTAAGCCAATTGGCAGCTCTTGTATCAGAAAAGATTCAGGGTCCCTTACCAAGCAATACAGAGAAAAATCCAAAGTAGCACCTTAAGGCCATCACTTTACGATCAGGTAAGGAATTATATGAACCTTATGCAGACAGACAAGAAAAGAATCAGGCAGAACAACAGGTAGACAAGGGTAAGAATATTGAAAAATCATCTGAACCATCAAAGGAGAAAGAAATAAAGAATAAGGAAGAAAAAAATTCTGAAAAAATGGTTGCCCCACCTGTGACAATTCCTTTTCCACAAAAAATGAAACGAGAAAAGCTTGATGGTCAATTTGCAAAGTTTTTGGAAATCTTGAAACAAATTCATATTAATATTCTTTTCACTGATGCTTTGTTGCAAATGACTTCATATGCTAAATTTTTAAAAGAATTTTTGTCAAGTAAAAGGAAATTGGAAGAAGTTTTTGTGGTAATGCTTACTGAAAAATGCAGTGCTATACTTCAAAATAAGCTACCACAAAAACTTGGTGATCCTGGCAGTTTTACCATTCCATACACTTTGGGAGGTGTATATTTTGAAAAAGCACTTTGCAATTCTGGAGATTCAATAAATTTGATGCCATTTTCTATCTTTAGAAAGTTGGATCTTGGTGAAATGAAGGACATAGGTGTTTCTCTTCAGTTTCCAGAACAAAGTACTAAGAAACCTAAGGGAATAATTAAAAATGTGCTTGTAAGAGTAGATAAGTTTGTTTTCCCTGTAGATTTTATATTACTTGAAATGAAAGAATGTCCTTGTCCTGATGAACCGATGATTTTGGGTAGACCATTTCTTACTACAGGAAGAGCAATCATAGATGTTCATCAAGAGCAACTAATCTTGAGAGTTGATGAAGAAAGAGTCATTTTTGATATGCAAAAGATACTAAGATTTTCAGGAGATGAGGCATCATCTTCATGCTTTTCTATTGACATGATTAGTGATCTTGCAGATGAATTCAAAGATGATCAATTAATTTCAGACTCAATGAAATGATGTTTGACCAAATCAGGCACCGCACAAGATGATGATCCCACAATTAGGAGAGAAGCTAAAATACTGGAAAAAGATTCGGGGGATAAGGAGATGCAATCAGAAGAAGTTAAACCAAAAATTGAACTCAAAGTTCTTCCCTCTCATTTAAAATATGTTTATCTTCAGTAAGAACTATTTCTAGTAATTATTTCATCTTCTTTGACTGCAGAACAAGAAGAAAGACTAATTCAAGTCTTAAAAGCACATAAAGGAGCCTTAAGGTGGACTGTAGAGGATATCTAATGGATTAGTCCAGCAATTTGTATGCATATAATCCTCATGGAAGATAGCTACAAGCCAATAATCCAACCACAAAGGAGATTGAATCCTGCAATGCAGGAAGTGGTGAAAAAGGAAATTGTCAAGCTTCTAGCGGTAGGTATTATTTACGCAATTTCAGATAGACCTTGGGTAAATCCAGTTCAGGTAGTACCAAAGAAAGGAGGTATGACAGTTATAAAGAATAAAAAAAATGAACTCATACCTACGAGGACTGATACAGGATGGAGAGTCTGTATTGATTATAGACGTCTCAATGATGCTACCAGAAAAGATCATTTTCCTTTACCATTTATTGATCAAATGTTAGAAAGAATTGCAGGATATGGTTTTTACTGTTTTCTTGATGGCTATTCAGGGTATAACCAAATACCAATTGCACCCGAAGATCAGGATAAAACAACTTTTACATCTCCTCATAGAACATATGCATATAGGAGAATGCCATTTGGTATGTGCAACGCCCCTGCTACATTTCAGCGTTGCATGTCAGCAATTTTTTCTGACATGACTGAAAAATTTCTTGAAATTTTTATGGATGATTTCACTCTTTGGCAAAACATTTGAAGATTCTCTTTACCACTTGACTTTAGTTCTTAAGAGATGTGAAGAGACAAACTTGATTCTGAATTGGGGAAAATGTCATTTTATAGTTATAGAGGGAATTGTTTTAGGACATAAAATCACTGCTAATGGGATAGAAGTTGATAAGGCTAAACTTAATTTTATAGCAGGATTACTACCTCCCACAAATGTTAAAGGCATTAGAAACTTTCTAGGTCATGCAGGTTTTTACAGACGGTTCATAAAGGATTTTTCAAAAATTTCAAAACATCTGACTAACCTCTTGATGAAAGATGTTAAGTTTGATTTTTCAGGTGATTGTATGATAGCTTTTAACACCCTTAAGGAGAAATTATCAAATGCCCCCGTAGTTGTGTCCCCTGATTGGAGTCAACCTTTTGAGGTTATGTGTGATGCTGGTGATATGGCAGCTGGGGCTGTTTTAGGCCAAAGAAAGGATAAGATTTTTTGTCCTATTTTCTATGCTAATAGAACACTAAGTGAGGCTCAACTGAATTATGCCACAATAGAAAAAGAGTTACTGGCAGTAGTATTTGCATTTGATAAATTTCGTTCTTATTTTATAGGAACAAAGGTGACTGTTTTTACTGACCATGCAGCTTTAAAATACCTCTTAGCCAAAAAAGATGCTCGACCTAGATTGTTAAGATGGATTTTACTTCTGCAAGAATTTGACCTTGCGATAAAAGAAAAAAAAGGAACAGAGAATCAGGTAGCTGACCATTTGTCTAGACTAGAAGACCTTCCCCTTGAGTTCAGCGAGATAAAAGAAGAATTTTCTGATAAACACATTTTTTCAGTTGACTCTGTTGTGACTCAACCACCTTGGTTCGTAGATATTGCTAACTACTTGGTTGGAAGAAAGACACCCCAAGATCTCTCTTACCAGCAGAGAAAAAAGCTTATTACTGATGCTAAGTATTATTTGTGGAATGAACCTTACTTGTTCAAAATTTGTGCAGATAATATCATTAGGAAGTGTGTACCTGAAGAAGAGATGACCAAAATTTTGTATCATTGTCATGATGGAGCAATTGGAGGTCATTATGCTGCAAACCGTACGACATTTAAAGTATTGGAGGCCGGATTTGTTTGGCCAAAACTCTTCAAAGATGCCCAAGCATATGTTGCACAATGTCACAGGTGTCAGAAAACAGGTAATATCACTAAGAGATATGAGATGCCATTGCAATCAATACAGGTATGCGAAATATTTGATGTTTGGGGAATAGATTTCATGGGTCCTTTTCCTTCTTCTTATTCATTTGAATATATCCTTGTGGCTGTAGATTATGTATCAAGATGGGTTGAAGCCATCCCCACAAGGAAGAATGATGCTCATACAGTGTGTAATTTTCTTAGAAAATATATTTTTACTAGATTTGGCACTCCTCGAGTATCATTAGTGATCAAGGAACTCATTTCATGAATAGGCAATTTTCTGCTTTGCTATCAAAATATGGTGTGACTCACAAAACTGGAACACCATATCATGCTCAAACACAGGGGCAAGTTGAGGTTTCTAACCGCGAGTTAAAAGGAATCCTTGAAAAAATGGTTGGAATTTCAAGAAAAGACTGGTCTTTAAAATTAGATGATGCATTATAGGCATACCGAATGGCGTTCAAAATGCCAATTGGAACATCCCCATATAAATTAGTCTTTGGAAAGGCTTGCCATTTGCTAGTTGAATTAGAACACAAAGATTTTTGGGCACTGAAAGCATTAAACTTTGAATTAACCTCTGCTGGTAAAAAGAGATTTTTTCAAGTTAATAAATTAGAAGAACTGAGGTTAGAAACTTATGAAAATGCCAGAATATTCAAAGAAAAAACAAAAATATGGCATGACAATTTAATCCGACAAAAAAGTTTCAAAATTGGAGATCAAGTACTTCTTTACAATAGCAGACTGAGGCTATTTCCAGGAAAATTAAAATCCAGGTGGATAGGTCCTTATAATGTTACAGATGTTACTCCATATGGGTTATTGAATTCAACATATCAATAGAGGAGACAAATTTAAGGTAAATGGTCACAGGTTAAAGTTGTATTTTGGAGGACATTTTGAGCAACAACCATCGGTAACCTTGATAGCCTAAACATTTCGTTGTTAATAAGTCGAGCTGACAACATTAAACTCAGAACTATAATTTCTTTTCCCGTAGCCATTGAGGGTGAAGCAATGGAACCTCATAAGCCCAATATAATTTATACGAATAAATGCTTAACCAATTGATCTGGTTAATATCTAGATTATTGTACAACCGGGACATCCCATGAAGGCCTCTACAAAAACAAAGCCATCTATACAGGAGTAATTCCATGGTAGTCGGTATGCCTAAGTCACTAGTTGGTTAACCATCTGATTGTGTAAAATAATTATTGGCTCAGGTAAATTTTCTGGTTTATATCAAAACTAGGACCCCATGACTGTTAAGGTGTTAAATTAGTCCAGTCTATTACACATAGAACATGTGTAGTTACAGTTTCTTTCAAGCTTTCTTCTATGACTGTAAATTTGAAAGCTAAAAAGATTCTTATTTAAAAAAAGTTCTTTAGTACTTTATGTATTTATAAAAAAAAACAAAAAAAGTTTTTAATTTTCGTAAATAAAGTACTACGTATATATAATTCTCTTTCATGGATTATTGTTTTACTGTGGGTATTAAATTCACAAAATAAGATCTCTTCATTTTTTAAATATTAACTCTTTTCTTCTTGTATCACATCACTTCCAAGTTTATTATTCCAATTTTGTGAAAGCGAGGATTTGCGTCTTCAACTCAATAAATCATTGGAATTGAGAAGAGTTATGAACATCAACAGGTAGATTCAGTAATTCTTTACTAGAACTTGCTCAGAATATTTGTCAAGGTGAAATAATAGTTGACACTAATTTCTGAAAAATGAACTAGGCTTTCTTTGATTTCTTCTTTTTGGCCTGAAAATGCAACCAAAACAAAAAAATGTATCCCTAGTACCCAACTTTGAAGCTTGTAAATCATTCTTTCTTGTCACACCGCAATCTGAACTAGTAAATTATAGGTACCTTTGTATATGTAATTACTTCTTCCTAATTGTTTTTCTTCAGCTGAAAGTTCAAAGATGGAGCTTATAAAAACAAATTGGCGGTAGAAAAGGCAAAAAAATAGCATACATATAGATTCTTCATATATAGAGAAAACTCTATTGTACAAAAAGTATTGTTTAAAAAAAATATATGAAGAAAAAGAAATTGCTTCAAATTTCAGAATATATACAGCTTTAATAGCTACAAATAAAAAAGTCATTATAAATATTTCTTTTATCCTACCATCCTGAAGCCTAATATTACAAACCGAAAAAGCCCTAAAAGATTTCAACAAAATAGTGTTAAACTACATTAGTGGTGATTTACATAATGAGCAAGCCTATCGATAAAGAAATACAATTCTTGTTGATGGTGGCCATAAATTTATCAATTCTTAAGAGTCATAGGGAGAAGAAATGCAAGTTCTCGCCAAACAAAGATGGAATCATAAGAAAGATATATGTTTTGTGAGGTTGAAAAGGTTAATCAGTTTTAGAAAATGAGGAAATTCTTATTTTGAATAAATTTTCTCTCCACAAGGCAAACAATGATTTTTGAAGAGAGTTGTTCAAAACGAATAAATTAATTAATTAATTAAAAAAATATTTTTTTTCCTCGAGGACGAGTAAAAGTTCAAGTATGGGGGAATTTGATGAATATAAATTATTCATGTATTTTCATACGTATAAATAAGGATTTTTATAAATAGTCCATGAATAAATATATTCGATTCTCCTATATTTTCTAACAAGTTCTGCAGAGGAAAGTTGAATTGAGGAAAGAGTACTACAAGTAAAACAAGGAGGAAAAAGAGTAATGCACGTGGTAAACAAGAGTGAATCAAATTTTGAAGTCACAACATGAAGTTACAACATCAACTTTTGAAGTCACAACTTCAAGACTTAAAGTTGCAACATCATCTCACATTTGCTACACATTTTCTATAAATAGACACTCATAATGTATTGTGAAAAGTTTATCTGGCGAGAGAAGAACTATTCTTGGTCTCTATTTTGTCTTTAATA